CGGAAGAGTTTTTAACCTGTTATAAACTACTAGCAAATGTATCCTTTAGATAAAGAGTGACTGAGATGTGGAAACTAAAACATTCACTGTAATGGCTTTAAAAATTAATACCACCTGTCTCTCCTATGATATTAGAAAAGATGCGTGTGTTTTAAGTTAGCTCAAAGTACATGGGGTGGGGGGAAAGACCCAGCCATTCCTGGAAACTCAATGAAATTCTCTTCTTTCTGTGTGCTGGTAACTAGAGCAGCAAGTGAAACGCGCAGGCATGCAGACAGCGGAAGGGAAAGTCATCGGCGGACCGAAGCTTACCTAGTTAAGGCCCTGCGAGAATCTAATTCTGAGGATGCAGATGAGGCAGATACAGATGAGACTGGAGGCTGAAGTGCAGAAAATCTGTTCAAACTAGTGGCACTTGGTCGTAAGGAGTCTGGGAGATTGTAAAGACAACACAGGGAAGAGCGACAACGAGGTCAGTATCCACCGACACCTTGGCATCACAAAATCATTTAAGCAATAGCTGTTTTCGGAATGTTGGGGAGAGAACTGAAGGGAAAGGGTTGGTCCTGCCCCACTTAACCCTGCTTGCCAGGCAGTCACACAGACAGATGCGCATTCCCACCCAAATCCGCTCTTGGCAAGGATGGCTGGTATCAAAGCAGAGGGTGAGGATCTGTCCTGACTTACCCAACTCGCTTGCCTTTGCTCCACCACTGCTGCCCTTTCCCCAGCTGCCCAACTGGGCTTTAGGCACAAGCTGAATCTTCTCATCTATTGTGGGCTGTAACACACATCAAGATACACCATCACAAGGGAAAACAGTAGGTCTTAATTATAAATGGGGCACTTTCGGGCAACAATCCTGTCTTGTGAATAGCAAAATGCACTTTAACACATTTTTAGAAGACAGAGGCAGACAGAGAGGATGCATCATAAACAGCCTCTTCCAAAGTGTCAGTGAAACACGTTCACAATGACCAGGAGCTGCTTTATATTGGGAACTACAAAACTCAGTAAGGAGGAAAAAGCACAGTGTATCAGTACTTGAAAGATGTTTCGTTCCTTTGTGATGAGCAAAACCATTCTGCTGTCCACTCCACCTACCAGTCATGGCTCTGGGGGGAATCGGCGCGGTAACAAACAGAATTCAGAGGGTGAAGAACGACAATAGGATGCAAAACTTGCAGGGAAAAAGTAGTGTCTGACAAGAAGAGAACATTGATTTTACAATGCTCAGTAGGTGAATGTATTGACAAGGAGGTTGTGACCCCGCAGATCTCTCTGTACAAGCTCCTCTTTCCTTCCAACAATGCAGCTGTTGTGGAGCTAGTTTTGTTTGTACTGTATTTGTACTAAATGGCATAGAAGGACTTTTCCCAGATGAGCTGTGAGCCCACACAAAAGCAGGCTGAATCCCTCCTGCTAATTAAGTTTTGCAGTCTTGTTTTATGACTTTCACAAGGAACAAACTGAGCTTGATCTGCAGAAGGGCTACAGTCTGTTGAGGTTCTGCTTTACAGCACTCTGAGCATCCAGGCACCGTGAGTAAAATTCAGGGAGAGTGACATTAATTGGGATAAGGGAATGTCTAGAAAAAACCCTGATTTATGTGCAAGCTGGAGTTCTCCTTGGCGAGAAATCCCAAAGCTGTTCTGAAGATTATTAAAAAAGGAGAAATCTCCAAGCTTGCCTAACCTGCAGCCTGAAATAAATGTCCCAAAACTACCGTTCTAACAGTAAAATAACAGGAAGACACTCGTCTGGAGGATGGGCGTGAAAGTTTATGCCATACGGAGGGACGCAACGGCACAGCACAGGAGGCCGGAAACACTGTAAAAGCAGACACAGCTCTTCTCGTACTACTTGAACCTTTCGAGCCTGGAGGGCTGCCACCTGCGACACGTCAGGAACGTTTTGTTTTCCAGTGGAATGTGGCATCCTCATTCTACTGAGCAGCAGCGTCAGAACAGGGTCATGAGAACTTAAGGCAGCAAAGGATTTCTATCAGACAGATAGAAAGTCTCTTTTCTCTGGAAGAAACCCCTTCTGTAAATAGCCATGGGACGTGCTGCATCACCATCACACGCGATACCCCGACTCACATTCTCTTTTCATCATTTAATAAAATGCAGGTTTTCCAATGAAGACGACGACTTTTTTTTGTGACCCAGTAACTTCTGGGTCAGGACACTACGAGCCTGATAAAAAGTGTACGCGTACTCCTTTCCCTCAGAACAAACGAAACAGGAACATTCAGAGGACAAGAGCCTCCTTTGTGCTTTATTTATGCACAGTATTAACTCTGGCGACTTATAATGTCCCAAAAAACAAGTTTTGACCTGTAAACACCATATCGGTCTTTCCTAGACTTTTCCTAGCTTTCTAGCTACAGCAAGGTAAGACCTCGGCATTTTTGTTGCTCTGAACAAGTCTTGTGCTGGAACCTACCTTGGTGATTTTAAGGAACTTGGTGGGGTCCAGCACTCTGCTGTTCTTTGCCCCCTGCACAGTGTTCCAACCGCCTTCGTCGACCCGCTGGACACCTGTCAGACGACAAACACAACGCCCTTAGCTCATCCCCGCTGCTCCAGCGGCACCCCGGGAGAATACAGGCCATCGTCTTCAAGTTCAACAGGAGGAGGAGAAGAAGATGGCATGTTTCTGCTAAGCCTCAGCACAATTCTGTGCAGAAGTCCTGTCTTGCGGAGTGTTTCTTCAGACCAAGATGACATAACTAGCTTGCCTGACTTTATTATTACAAAATAGCCTTGACATAAGGGAGATCTCTATTTTTAAGGGCTGGTTTTGGTAGTGATTCTTCCTGGTTAGATTTCTCAAGTGTGCGTTCTTGCCATCTGGATATGGCTGCACATCCTGTGCCTTCACAAGCTCACAGAGTGTTGTGAGGGGTCTGGAGCACAAGTCTGATGGGGAGTGGCTGAGGGAACTGGGGGTGTTCAGTCTGGAGAAGAGGAGGCTGAGGGGAGCCCTCATCGCTCTCTAAAACTACCTGAAAGGGGGTTGTGGTGAGGTGGGTGTTGGTCTCCTCTCCCAAGTAACCAGCGATAGGATGAGAGGAAATGGCCTCCAGTTGTGCCAGGGGAGGTTTAGATTGGATATTAGGAAAAATTTCTTTACTGAAAGAGTGGTCAAGCATTGGAACAGGCTGCCCAGGGAGGTGGTGGAGTCACCACCCCTGGAAGCGTTCAAAAAACGTGTAGACGTGGCACTTTGGGACACGGTTTACTGGGCTTGGTGGTGTTGGGTTGACAGTTGGTCTTGATGATCTTAAAGGTCTTTTCCAACCTTAATGGTTCTGTGATTCTGTGACAATGTGCCTTTGCTAACTGAAAGCCGCACTTGTTGCACGGATTTCAGCAGTGCTAGGCTAGTCTAGTTGCAGAACCATTCAAGCAATCGCAAGTTCCTTACCTTCTCCTGATGCCAGTCTATGTGTATGTTCTTTACGGCCTGTTTTCACAGAACTTTAATTTCATTTGACAATCCTTAGTATTAAGGAATCCCAAAGATAATTTTCTCCTTGCCCTGCTCTGTCCTGCTCTTCATTTTCCCAGTCACTCCAAGTTCATCTCCAGGTAGTGCCAGCCCCAAGGGCTGGTAGCAATTTAAGGTAATGCCAAGACACTTTCTCATGCCGAGTTAACACCTCACAACTTTAACAGCTAAAGACAACATGGTTACTCTTGAAATTAGATGCTATTCTTTTGAAATTAGACGCTGCTGTAGGCAAGAATGGATGGCAAATCTGACTCCTACATAGTAACTTGTTTCTGGCAGCCTGTCACAAAATCAAATATGGTTTGCATGAATGCGAAACTTAAGCACTATTGGCCTGCGATTGTTTATTTTTACCCAAGGGATTTGCCCCTGAAAAATCCACACAGCCAACCACGGCCAAGTCTGTTCCTCCTCCAGCCTCAGCCATAATCAGGCCCCAATTCCCTTTGCTCATTACACTTGGGAAAAAAAACCAGACTTTTTTCTTTTATGTGGGATTCCAACTATGGCCACTAGGTGCAAAATGAGTGAAATGAGCAGACAGCTTGGCGTTTACTTTACCCGGTCTCCTCTTCTCTTTGGTCATGAGCTGTTGGACCTTCCTCTGTTCTTCTTGCTCTTCAATCTTGGCTTCTTTATGAATCTGCTCGATGGTCTTCGGGCCCTGGTCTGCTCTCCGTGACACCCAGTTGCACTAGGAAAGAAATAAACACGTGCTGAGAGATGTTTCCAGCGGCGCATCGTAAACGGGGTATTCTGAACGCTGTGAGAATGAGGCCTAATCCTCCCACCCTTGTACTGTCTTAGAGGGGCTGTTCCCCAAAGGACTGGGGAAAATTTTGTGGTGCTGGGTCACGTTGTGGGCACAGTTACCCCAGCACCACAGGTCAGAGCTCTGTACTCTGGTCTACAGACTGTGATATATGTTTTGGTGGAGAGTGGAGGCTGCAGTGAAGACGTGACTTTGGAGAGGCAGGACTGAATTCAAGACGTTTTAACCCCCAGCATCCTGCACATTCCCAGCTTTCCAGTCTTTCCAGGTTCAGAGGGAAGAGACGGACTAGAGGGAGGCTGCTGTCACTCTCTATCTGTCTCTCACCGACACTGTTCATTGCAGCCCTTCCTCCAAGCTTGAGGGAAAAAGAAATGAAATCCTGAAAATAAGGCAGCGAGAGGCAACTGCATTTTACCTGGAGATGGTGCTTTGCCACTCCAGGGATCGTGATGGCTGAGACAGAAATCCTGCAGAGAGAGGTGGAGCTGTCTCTCCACAAAACATTTCCACTGCTTGATGTGTCTACTCAACCATAGAGTACACAGATCCATCTATCCCCAGAACAACCAGACTCTCTCTTCATCTTGCTACAACCTTATTACAACTTCGGGGTAATTATCTTTGCCTACCCTGCAGCCAAAATGGTGACTTCAGCCTCCACAAAACCCCAAACCAGCTTCAAAACAGCTATGTGAGGTATGAGTAAAACCCGCTCAGGACTTCAGTCAAGCACTGTCTTGAGACCAGCACTACTAAAGTCACTACTACACGCTGCTGTCAGCGCCTACATGGGTGAAGTTACAGGTGTTTGGGAAGGTTCATGCAAGCTGCAGTCACATCTTTAACCACACGGCGTGGAGACACCCTATGCTGTACGAGACCCCAGGTCCAATGACTTGGCTACATTCAAAACCATTGCTTGATTACAACAGGGACAGGTCCCTGTCTGCACTGAACGTGCACTTGTCTACACCAGGTTCTCCCCTACGTGTCATTTTTGGAGCTCAGCGTGGACCTGCCATCATCATGTTCTGATCAAGCGCAGACTCCATTTGCTTTTGTCTGCACAATGTGGCCAGCAGACAACTAGCAGATGCCTGGCTGGGCTAGCAATACAGGCTAATATAGGACCATCTTTCGATGAAATCCATACTGCCATGAAAAAGAGCCCTCACAGTTTTTACAGCCGCACTAACCAGTCCCCCTCACTTGTGGAATATGCATCTCAGAACACTTTGGTCCCATCAGCAAAAGTAAGCGCTGTCGGGAAACAGTCACACCCAGAGTGCATGGAAACACAGACAGCCGAGCAGCGCGACTGACAGACCGGCACAGGGGATGCTGCGGCGGGGGAGGAAACACCCAAAGCCTCTCCTGTGAGAAGAGCTCAGGCGTGGCCGCTGCAATGGGGCTGGACCAGCATCACCAGAAGCTGGTGTGGGCACGTGTCTAACATTAAGCCAAACCAAAACAACCTGACAGAAGCAGCTTGCCTGCCTACCAACCTTGACCTTCGCTAAGGCAAAATGGAGATTTCTTGTCTTTAAACAGCCAGACTTTCGGGATAAGGGGCACAGATCCCTCCCCAACCTCCCACTTCTGCTGTAAATGCCTGCTGTTGCATGAGAGCTCTTCCAGCCTGGACACAAAAGGGAACATGCTCTTTTACTTACTTGCGTTGGTACCTACCAGCCTTAGGTCTATTACATCCTGAAGCATGAACCGAATCCTTGAAGATGTTTTTCTCTCTTTCACAATCTTCTCCATCTGATTAAAATACTGGTCCATGCGAGGCTACACAAGGGAAACATCATCATTAATGTGTCTGGGAGTCAGTGGGTGCTGCATTACAGCATTTCTGTGCCAGAAACACCTCTGGGGACCCAGAGCTGCTCTCCGGAGAAGTGAGTGTTGGGTCCCATACGCTCGTCCCAGGTAGGATTTGAGTGCATGGACTGCAGGAAACGATGCACAAATCTGCAGGCACCTCCTTCATTTAGGAAATGCTTTCTCTGCATTTTTTATTAGTCAAATAATCTACACCCTCTTCATGTACATAATAGACTTGCCATCCATTAAAACAAACAAACAAGCATTGTTTTTAATGGTACAGTTAAACTGACCTACTTGCTAGCTGCCACGGTAAAGGGGAGTCCTGCTCTACCTCTAAGCTCCTCCTTTTCATACCAGCATGTGTGCTCACCTCAGCCCAAGAGAAACCGGCTCAGGAAACTAAACAGGCATAAAACTAATCCTGCACGCATCATTTCGATGCTTTACCTCCCTGAACTGTCTCAGCTGGGGTCAGAAGCACTGCTTCTCTCGGCAAGAGGCTGTTTAATGGGCTTAGGTGCAGTATGAAATCCCACAAGCTCCTTTTCATCTAAAAAGTCTCGGTGTCATGGAATCCAAATCAACTGGCACTAAGATGTGAAACAGTAGCATTAGAGAAGCCTCCATCAGGTCTAAATTTGACTCGCCAGGCTCCAAAAAGCCTTATTCCCCCAAATGGGGGCTCTGCATACTTTAAACAGAAAGTTTCAGGGCAGTTTTATAAAGTGTTTCCCACTCCTTTCCCTAAAAACTAGCTAAACCCTTTTCTCCTTATACTTAAACAAACAAGAAAAAACCCTGTTAAAATTTGGTTCTGGCCTTGCCTTGGAAAGTTTCATCTCTGAGAGCAAATGTTTCCAAAGTTAGGAATGACAGGGAAAATATTTAAAATGGACTTTGTCCAGAAGCTTTAATTATAACTATCACTAACACTTCAGCTTCAATAAAAACATAATAAAACGTCTACCTCATTAATAGAAAATAAATAAAGGATTCTCACTCAATCTTGATAGAAATAACAAATCACAAAGACGGGACACAGGCAGCTTCTCACAACAGGTAACATATCTGCAAGCATTTCCCTGCTGCGTGCATGCTCCCTGTTACACGTTGCCATGGCTCGAGGTTGCAGAACTGGCCAGTGCACCAAAATGTTGGCTTTTAAAGTGTTTCCATGCTCGCAAAGACCAAAACAGCATCCAGGACTCATCCAACATGACCTCAGCTACTGCTTAGAAGTCAGACCCTGTTTTCTTCCCAAAGCACATGCAGAAATTTAATCCCCGCTTTCAAGCCTGCATCAGTAACGCACACACTGTTGCGTTAACAGCGTAGGGTCTGGGGGATTAGCGGTAAACTACGCAGTTTTGGTCAATGCTCCGCAAAACAGTTTGGAAACCCATTTCCCCATGAGGATCAGGATTGATCCGCCGTGATCCCTGCAATCCAGCGTGCTGTAAGGGAACTCCCTTCCCCGAGCAGCTGAAAATAATTAGCTCAGTTTGTTTCCAGAGTTGAGTCCGACCGATTTCTGGCAGAACCCTCGAATGCTTTCTCATCCCCAGCCTGGCTTTGCGAAGGAGAAGCAGATTGTCTGTGCCAAGAGAAGCTCATTGAGTGTGTAATGCTCTGTGCTACATATACATTTGTTGGAAAGTTGGGAGGAGGATGCTGGAGCACTGCAGTGGCAAAACAGCTGCTTCATTCCAGCGCAGCTGGAGACATGATGACACAAAATAAATGCACCCACCAAGGTTCAGGTGGGGGTTTAGGTCAGTTAGTGAGGTTTTCTTTTTAGATGTAACCTGAACAATACATTCGGTGGTAGGTTTTGTAGGCAATATAAGCCTTCAATGGTAAAGAAACAACTCTAAATCTTAATGCTTTGGAAACTACAGATAAGAGGTAAATTCTATTTGGAAAAAGAAACTCGTAGGACACGTTGAGTACTTTTAGACTTTGTGCTTGGATGAAATATTTGGAAACAAGTAGCGACTGGAGAACACCGTTGAAAGTTATACAGACTCTACTAGAAAGGGGCAGAGAGGAGGCGTGAGGCCAGGTCGTGATGAAACACCCGCAGAGGAGTGGATGATTTCCTCATGCCGTACAGAAATTCCCAAAGAAAAAAAAAAAAAAATCCTCAAATAAAAACACCCCACACCCATTTTTCCATCCCTGCCCAGAAAGCCTCATGTCTCACTCCTGGTCCTGCCCTACCTTTGCTTTCTCAAAGTCCAGGTCCTTGCCAATGGTAGTTAGCAGGCGGCAAAGGCACTCGAGGGACTCCTCATCGTGGTTTTTCAGCAGCTTTACCACGCAGTCATGCATGATAGCCTCCGTCAGCATTTTTAGTTTGAAAAGCTCGCCAATGAATTTTATATTCCCAATGGATCTCCGTCGAGCTTTGTCCTTGGCTTCTTCCAACTCGTCATGGAGCCGCGTCTTCTCCTCTGGCTGTAAAACAGAAAAACGGCTCTAAAAAAACATGTTCACAGAGCACAGAACTCTTCAAAAGATCCTGTTTTACGTTTGTAGCTGCTGTTGTCCCTCTTTACTCTTTTTTGCCTAAAAAACAAAAGGAGGCTAGTATAAATCCACTAATCAAGGCAAATATTCTTTATTATACCCAGCCACAGTGACAGAATGAAACTCTCAACTCTGAAATTCCCCCCAAATCGACTGCCATCTTCAAAAGAGATCATTCTCAGAGGGAGCTCTGAGAATTTATGGAGAAAAATACCACTTACAGTGGTAGCAGCTTCAAGTTCTTTCTGCTTCTTTTCAAAGACATCGTCGTCAGCCTTGTCCTTTTCAAATTCCTTCTGGCAGCGATTTAACAGCAACTTGCGGAAATTTACTGTGCTCCCAGGTTTGTCTGCCATGGGCACTTTCAGCTGTAGGAGAAGGAAGAAAAACATCAGCAGAAATATGGCTAAACTCTACATATGAGCGAGGTTTCCTATAAGCCATCCATTACGTTTTATTATGCACTTCATATTCAGCAGCCCAAGTCTGGAAGGCCACGACAGTTAAGCCTCTCGTCATGATTTCCAGCAGAGTTTTACATTTCACATGTAAAGTCGCACTCAAAACTTGGCTGACACCACCTCCGCCCAGACACAGATTACATTTCCATTCACAGGATCCTTTAAAAAGACACACTGCTTAAAAACACTCTTGTTATGTGCTGAAGACTCTGGAGCTGTGCTCCTTCGTTGCATGTCATCAAGGATCGGGAAGAGAAAGGGGTTACTTTGTCCCAAATTCACCATCTGAAAACTAGCTGTCCGAAGCTTGGCTCGGCACCCTGGGCTCCCCTTTGAAATGAGAGAGAAACTGAACTTCCCAAGCGTGACTCATTGCATCTTGCGACCAGGCAGAGCGAAGCGTCCTCAACTCCAGCCACCACATCACTCCCAGCAAAGCCCCTGCCTGCAGGCATGGCCAACGAATGTAGAAGAAGAAATCCATCATGTAAATTATTTTTATTTACTTCAGAAACTAACATTTAACTCCGCTCTTGCCACGTTTATATTACTGCCAATCAGTTCACGGGGATAACGTGCACAACATTCACCCGCTCAGAGGAATTTCCCATTTGACTTTGGCGGCTCTTACCGTTACAAGACATCTGCACATGTTGGCATACGCCACCGAGAAGCTCGGTTCATCGATAGCCTTCTCGAAGACCAGGTCGATGACTCCTTTCAGCCTCTCTTCTGTATCTACCGTCAGGTCTGTCACTTGCTTCATGAGCTGATTGAACATCTGGGGTGTCAGCTTGTTCAAGATGCTTCGTACCTTGCGGAACAGCTCCTAAACGACAGAAAAACTGTAAGTTTAAGCACAAATCGAACAAATGGCTTTCAGGAACAATCTTAAAGGTGAACGGAGAAGATGTCCTATAGGAACTTCTAGGAAGTTGAGCTACACACAGACACACATTTGCGCACAGTCCAGCTCCAGTTCCAACTCAGCTACCAAAGACCAAGGCTGCGGGGCAGGATTTTCGGAAAAGCCCAAGTGCTTTTTTCAAGTGCCACAGAGGCCCAAAGCCCTTGCTGCCACCCAACTGAAATATTCTTTTTTATATCAATTTAGCCATCAGATATAAATTAGCAGGGAGTGGCCTCCCTCTCCCTCAACCAGAGGTAATCTACTTCTCCTATATTTACTTTAAGGCACCTTTTTTTCCCCCGCTATCCAGAATGATAATTAGGTCAACAACGCTGCCATTAGCCCCAAGAACAGAATTCCAGTGTCCTTCAAAACTATCCCAACTTATCCTCCAAATTACAAGTTTGACCACCAGGCAAATACCTCCGCCCAAAGTGGCTGCCCCACAGAGGAGAGGAGTGGGGAGGGAGACACAGAGAAAGCTTCAGAGACGGCGCTGTTAGGCTGGGCAAGACAAACTGACAGAGGAACCGCAGTCTTGCTGAGGCTCAGGGCAGAAATGTTGTCTAAAAGGGGATGAAAAGCAAGTTCTGTGCTGCAAGGCTGAGGATGTTTGCTTTAGAATGGAGACAGAAATATTCTAGTAAAATAGCAATAGAAAAACAATCCTGCAAGAGAGGTAGTAGGTTGTCTGGTGTTCCCTGTTTAGACTCACTTAATGTACAGGACTGTCATTTAAACTCCAGGTCAAGAATAAACACATGAAAAAAGAATAATCAAGGTAGAGGCAAGCTGTGATTCCAACTGGAATTCACTGCCCTTTTTTTCTGCCTTACATAACAGCAAAGGCAAATTACTCTCCTCCTCCTGTTAGAGACTGCTGTACTCAGAAGCGCTTGCTAATGCTCTCACCTGGGTTTTGACATTTTCTGGGTCCTCAGTTTGGTTTTCTCTCTTCAGGCTCGGCTTCCAGGCGTTCTCTGCCTTCTTCAGGTGGACATCCTCCTTCACACACACAGTGATGATCTTCCTGGGCTCTCTCCTCTGGCCTGGCTGAGATCTCCTCGGTCCAACATTCAACAACTAGGACAAAAACATTCCTTGTTATATCCCCTTTTAAACTCGCATCTCGATAAAACACTCCAGGGCGCATGCCAACACCCGCTGGTGGCAACGCCGACAATCAGCAACTCCTCCTAGGACTTTGAGGACTCCCTCCGACCCAACACACTGGTCCAGGTTGGCCAGAGGGAACATGAAGACACCAAACAAATTTCTCTCAGGCAGCTTTTCCCGAAACACATATGGAATGACCTACACGCATCGGCGATGCTCCAGACGCTGCTTAAGCGCTGCAGAACTGAACCCGACTGACCAAAACAGCCTCTTGAAAGCCAGAAACTGCATAACTGAGACGTCATAGCGAAGGCGTGTTTAAGGACTACAACAGTCCTTACAGGTGTATTTCAAGTGTGCCATCCCAAGCAATTAGATAAAGATAAATTAGCAGCTCTGCCAAAAACGTGAAGTTTTACTGGAGATCGCTACAAACAGAGCCATTCCGAGACAGGAATTACACAAACCAGCTGAGTGGAGCATCGGTGCTGCTCCTGCATTGTAGAAACAGGGATCCTAACAGATGTGGGTCAAACTCTTCATAGTTTCACAGAAGACAGGGAAGCATGGTACTTTCTTTGAAACAGCATCAAGCGCTTCTCTGCAATCCTGTATAACACGATGGTCCTCCCAGTCAAACCAGGGATGAAAACTGCCGAAACTGGGGAGTTTTTCATCGGTTGTACAAACAATAGGGCGCAAGATGCCCCCAAACTCCCTCTTCATTATCCGGGAGCTTCCGGTTAAGGACTAAAGGTATCAAATGTTGTCAGGAGGTTATTCTTCCCCTGCACCCTTTCGTATTTCTGAACTCATTTATTAGAGATGTCCAACCTCAGTGTAAAAATTAGCACAGCAACTAAACTCCATTATCAAACCCCGCTACTTTCCACAGAAGTAATTAATCTCGCCAGTGGGCAGTAGGCAACCTCCACATGAAAGATGGGCCATTTAAAACATTTTTTTGTCCAACAAAGGGATTCAACAAGCATCAGAGAGGCAAAACCCTGTCAGTTATTCCAACAGCTTCACTGAGTACAGGAGAAGAGGCACTCAGCTGGTGCCTCTCATGTCGTATCAGCCCCAAACCCACCTTTGCACAATTAAAAAAGAAAACCCTCCTTAAAGGGCAGGAGCTTGTATCTGCAATTGGCTTCAACGATGTAAATGCGTGCCGCTGATGAAAGCAAATGAACATAATCACCGCCCCTGCTGGAGTTCTCATTTGAGCTTTGTTATGTGATAACAGCAACAGCATAAGATGTTGTCAAAGGACAATGACCTCATGTCACGATGCGCTTCGTACACCAGGGCGACGCACAGAAGAGGGCTACGTGGTGCAGCGTGTTAGCATGCTGCCCCACCACCTGCCAAGACCTGCACTCGGATCCCACTGGCACGCACAGAAATAAGCCATCAGATCATTCAAACCTTTCTGGGCGCAAGCCGTAATTGCAACGCAACTGCGCGAGTCAAGCGCTCCCAAGAAATCAACAGCGGGACGAGACAGGGAACCTTCACAACTCTTTTGTGTGTTAGACACCTTCCTACAACAGTTGTCAATCCCTCCCTGCGACCCCTCTCCGCTCCCGCCCAGAGCCCTTGATCAACAGCAGTACGACACAGCAACGTCTGCTTTGCAGCCCTCCCTTGAGGCATCCACCTCTCTTTTTACACAATTTCACACAGTTTTGCTGCCCAGTTTCTAACCACGCTGCAAACATATGGCCGTGGCAAGAAGAAACTTCCCTCCAGCTGAAAAACCAGACAGTAACGCAACAGAAAACCGACTGGTTTCAGCCATGCGCACTTGACCTCATCACACACCTCCTTGCCCAGGGAAAGCTTAGTAACCAGAGCCAGACTGGCAATGTGCCCTGAAAATCAAAACATTTGGGCTCATTTACACCCAGGAACATGGGCAAAGCTGACGAGAAGTAACCTGCGGCCACCCCGTGTCTCTTGTGCGGAGGCAGCTCTGAAGGACCTTCCAACCGCAGCCGGGCTGTAACCCGCGAGGACGGAGCCGCAGCGGCACGGCGCTTCCTTGGGTACCGGTCCATGCAACGCCGCGGCGTTGGCTTTTAGAGCAAACGCACCTCCCTGAAGGAGGTGACTACTTCCCTTGCAAAACTGAGGGATGCAAGGAGCACTTGTGCAGCTCCTGAACAGCAGCATGTTACACATCACAAGCCTCCTCAAGCCTGGCTGCCTTCGAGACCAGACCTGTATGTGCATCAATAAAACAAAGAAATCTTTAAGATTTTTTTTTTTTAATATCTGTGAATAAACTTGGTTCAAACTGTTTGATTAAGTTTTAAAAACAGTGAACAGAAGCCTCCTTTGAACATGTAATAAAGTAATATACAGGTCAAACTTTTAACAGAAAAAATCTGGGGTTTTTTGGTTCCAAATTTCGAAGCGGCAAGTTAAAGAGACGCTTGAACTCATGGCTGGCCTCCTTTTTGCAACCTGGTCCAAGTAAATAATAATGGTGCTGTAGCACCTGCAATTACTGCGCTACAGCTTGCACTGAAATAATATTTTCCACTAAAGGCACAGAGAAGTGCTTACCAGATGTTTCTACATTAATATGAAGTACCCGTCTTCCAGACGGCGAGGGGGGGAAAAAGGAAAGCAGAAAGAAACAGGGACAAGCCTCCTGCAGAGGAGCCAAAAACTCACAGCAACACGACCTGATGCTCTCCCTCACGGTCCGCTTCCACTCCCAGGACACAAGTCATGGTAATGTTTTAAAACACATCCAAGAAATTAAAGAACTGCTTCTCCCTCTACAACAGGCTTGAAATGCAGAAGGTAAAATTGAGTTTAGATGCTAGAAGCGACTCTGCCTTCCAGGGAAGCTTAAGAACCGAGGTGACTCGAGTTCCCATCACCTCTCAGCAAGGATAAAAGCAGATGCATCCCACCTCGGCGCACGGGGACAAACCGGTCCTCTCCAACCCTATTTCTCAGTTGTTTGCATCTCATTACCCACCACACACCTCTAACTTCATGTCTACATCAAAAAGAGTTTCTTAGCTGTATTTTGTTCCTGTGTAATTACACCCCTTGTGTTGTTTGATGTGACATTTGTTAGTTCTAAAAACAGTCATACAACACGTTTAAGCGAAAAGAAGGAAATAAAGACAAAAGCCAAGGAAGCAAAACAAAAGATTCTCAACGTGCCGAAAGCTTGTTAGCGCCGAGCTGCTCGACATTATTTTGAGGGCAAGGAGTAGGCAGTGGGGTTTAATGGTTTATGGGCATGGCCTGTGTAGAGGTGGAATGACCGAGTGGACAGACAGCGTACACGCAGATTTTTGCCATGCTTTACGAGAAGATAATGTCTGGCTGAAAACCCTCTCATCCTATAACCGCCGACGTCACAGGACAGCAGGGCTCGTTAAATAACGTTACCTTCCAACCCTCCTCGAGAAAAACGCAAAGAAAGGCTCTACTCTGTAAAGGCGCAAATGTAAGATGTATGTTATGTGCTGAATGCTCCAAATGAACGGGGTAAGCGGGACTTACCTTTTCTCCCCCTTTCCACAGGTCTGCAAAGTGCAGACCCCTCGCGGATCCCGCTCAGGCCAACGTCCCAGCATGCCCTCAGCTGGTGATGTCCCACCCACCACTGAAGACTGCCTAGAGGGGTACAATGCAAGTCTTGTTTCGTTTTTTTTTTAAACAATGTTGCACCTTTTTGTAAAGTTTTCTGCCAGTCGTTCTTTTATCAACAGTGGGCGTTAGGGAAAAAGACAACTCTACAAAAAGGTGCAAAGACTGGGGGGGTGAGTCCCAGCATGCCCTCAGCTGGTGATGTCCCACCCACCACTGAAGACTGCCTAGAGGGGTACAATGCAAGTCTTGTTTCGTTTTTTTTTTAAACAATGTTGCACCTTTTTGTAAAGTTTTCTGCCAGTCGTTCTTTTATCAACAGTGGGCGTTAGGGAAAAAGACAACTCTACAAAAAGGTGCAAAGACTGGGGGGGTGAGGGGGGGATTTGGCTTACCCCTATCGGCAGGTTCCTCAATTTTTGGGTGAGGCGAGACCAAGAGAGGGCATGCTGGGGAACCGCACCGAGCCAGGGAAGGCAATCCAGGGTTGCTCTGCACTTTGCAGGCCTGCGGAAAGAGAAAGAGCGACAGGGACGTTACCAAGATGCCGAGAGGCTTGGGACATTCAGCGCATGAAGGGTGAGAAGGCGCCGGAGGTACAACCTGCAAGTCCTAAATGTAGGAAGCGATGTTGACCTCAAAAGAGCATCCAGGTTCCAGGACCGGGTGGTGCTCTGAGAGAAACCCCGACACCGAAGCTACTCCAAGACATGGACACGCACCCCAGAACTGAGGCACCGGCCACGAGACCGCTCTCAAACCAGCAATATCACATCAACTCCGAGCCTCCTGGAAGTCTGCTCACTTGGAAGTCAAGGTTATTAAGTGAACTCTTCTAACACCAGCAGTTCGGAAAGATAAATGATGGCTATGTCGTTAGATATATCTAGACGGATACATTGGATGTATCTTGATAGATGACCCCAGAACTGAGGCACCGGCCACGAGACCGCTCTCAAACCAGCAATATCACATCAACTCCGAGCCTCCTGGAAGTCTGCTCACTTGGAAGTCAAGGTTATTAAGTGAACTCTTCTAACACCAGCAGTTCGGAAAGATAAATGATGGCTATGTCGTTAGATATATCTAGACGGATACATTGGATGTATCTTGATAGATGAAAAATAAATGATGGCACCCAATAGTGGCGCAGCCTCCATCCTCCAGCTGTGGCTGACTGGGCGGCACTGTGCTGGGGGCACCCACACCCCAGGAATGAGGGACGGCAAAGGCAAGAAGGAGAAATTCCGAGAGGGATTTCAGAGTTTGGGCAAAGCAGACACAGGGAAAAGAAGTGGAGGTGAAAGGAAAGCTGAGGAAAAGGCAGGGAAACAAGGAATGAAGTGACCAAAGCAAAGCAACATGTGGAAGCATAAAGAAAGCAAAAACACACACGGGCGCTGTGTATATTCTTTTTTTTGTTTTGTTAGTAAAATCTATTAGCTCTATTGGCACGTTTTATAAAAAAAGAATCCTATGATGACACACACTGACACCGGGTTGTTGTATGAGAAACGTACGTTCACACACGCGTGACTGCCGGGGCCTCAGCGCGGAAACGTGTTTCCACAACTTTCACGCAGGGAAAAGGGGAAGAAGATCAAGTCCATTTCAGACCAATACGTACCAGTTAAAAACATCCACAACGTTTTTCTAATTTGCCTAAATTTTGACAGCCAAGAAAACATCACCCTTGCATTCATCCTGACAAAACCAGAACCACCGCAGCATCAGAAGAGGCCCACAAGCGTGAGGACGGACTTCATCGGTGTTAAGGCCAGTTTTTAAATGAGCAAGTTGGGGTAAACTCACACTTCCAGATACGTTTCTTCCACCAGAGGTTTGCCTCCCAAAATCAGCGAAGGCTGGCGTGAAGTCTGGTCCTCGAGGCAGTATCCGAGGGTCCAGGGTTCTCAGTGGCAATTTTGGCTGATTGACCTGCATGGTGGAGCAGAACAA